CACGCTAAATCGCGCGAAGGCTGTTTTTAAATATACCGTACGTTGCGCAGCAAGAAAAAAGTTTTTCACGAAAGAACTCCCGAGAGAGTTAACGTCATATACATTATTATAAATCACGTCGCTAGAGCGGGGATAAAAACCGTATGTCCGTTATATTTAGCCGAACGTATTTGCACCCGACTCTCGAGGAGACACGCTTGCTCGTCGGCATGTTTTATATTGTTTAAACCCAGTTTTTAAATCGCGATCGAGTCTGACGCAATCGCGTGAAAGTGCTTAGGCACGCTTGAAATTTTACTCGTCCTCGCTCCGGTCTCACAAGCGCGATTATAAATCGCCGCTCCGGCCCCCTGGTGTACATAGGCCTATTGTTTTCGTACTTTTTCGTATGAGAATCAGCTCGACACAGCCGCGGCGCGGGCGCGGGCGCGTCGCGGTACGGCGCGGCACGGCGCGCGGCGCGAAAGGAGAATGGAAACCACCGACGGTGGAAACTGTTACGCTCGTGCTCTATATAGCGACGTCGAAGCCAGCATTGCGAAAACTCGACACAACGTTGATGAGCGAACCGTGAAAACGCAGAGTTTTAAAATCTATATTTTCCGGGAGGAGTAACGCCCGCGCCGTAGCCGTAAATTTCAAATCGACGCTTTTCTCTCCCGCGAAACTTTGGAGTTTCCAAGAATCGAGCTGTCGAAATATCGCCGTTTTGTCACGTCCGCGCAATCTTGCGAGGTGTACGCGTTTAGTTGTTTTTCAGAGTTAGTCGAGGACGAGCTCCGTTCGACGGAAATATAGATCGAAAAATGTCCACGTGTTGAAAACGGAGAGCGGTGATAAAAGATAAGGCGTGGATTACCGAAGCGATAATATAGATAATCCACGGATTTCTCTTTTATTATATCCTTAAGCGTTTTTGTGACTGAGAGAACATATATATAAAGATGCGATAAATCGGAGATTACGAGATATAAAACATCTGAAAAATTTCTTACGCGACTATGCCCAGATACTCTCGCGTGGGCTCGAGAAATTCAACGAAAATTTCCGGATTCCCATTCAAATAAACAAGCTGTACAATTAAAGTTATTTATCGCACGGGCATAAACGTATACGACTCGGTTATAAAACGTCTTGTTTACGCGCGAGGCGAATTTCGGGCGGAAGTCATCAGTCTCGGATCGGCTCGCCGATCCGCGAACGGAGAGGGGAAATAAAATAGAAATCTACCGCGCGAGAGCGAAGAAAAGTCGCGGGTTTCCCCCGCGACTTTCGAATCGAGGAAATCCAATCGTCGCGAAATAGAGAACGCTCGGACGCGTCTGATTGCGAAACGCGATCGTTTTGCTGTCCTGCCGCAAAGAAAACGAGGTGAGTCGCGATCGCGACTTTTGATAGAGGGGGTGCCGCGGACGCCCGCGGTTGATCCGGCACTGCCGGCGGATTCGCGCTTCGTGCGGCGACGGAAATTGCCGACTGCGTCCCGTCGGTCCCGTCACTCCCGTCCCGTCACGCGGCACTCGCGGCAGGCGGCAGTTGACTCCATCCATCCCTGATCCCAGCCCCAGCCCGATCGCGGTCGCCCGTCGCGGTAGTGCGACTAGTGCGAGTAGTGCGTGGTGGAGCGCGATTTGCAACGGATTGACAGCAGTGGCGACTGCGTCGCGACGTATACTCGTAATAAGCGGAAGGAGGACGAGAGGAAAACGCGAGAAAGAGCGTGCGTGTGTGTGTATACGAAGGAAAGAAAGGGACGTAGAGGTTACGTTGGGACGAGATCGTACGCCGTCGGGGCCGATCGAGACAGCTCGCCGCGAAAATAGGACGACGTGGAGCAGCCTCGCGAACGAACGTTGACGACACGCTCGCGGAGGACGGCACCGCTCGCTGCGTGGAACGATGTACGTGACAGGGATGGAACGTGCGGAAAAGTGGCGAAAACCGTAAAGGTGGTGGCGCAGTGCCGTGCACGTCGGTGGCGATAGTAGGCCGTAGCGGCGGCGGCAGCGGCAGCGGCGGGGGCGGCGACGACGACGGCGACGGCGGCGACGGCGAGGACGGGAACAGCAGTGGTGGTAAACGGTGACAGTGACAGTTGTGGCGCGGTGACGGCGCGGAAGCGCTCCGATGGTACTTCGGTGAGCGGCCGCGTGGCGGTAGAGGAGCGGAGGTACGCGACGCTGCGTGTTGCGTGCACGCCGGCCCGGCGGCGGCGGCAGTGGTGCTGTGCGCGCGTGTTGGTGCGACACGCACTTGCTCGGCGGGGCCGCGTCTCGTCCTCGTCGCCGTCGTCGTCGTCTCGCTCCGTCCCACTGACCGCGCGTCGTCATCAGGCGGCGCGGTCGTCGTCGTCGTCGTCGTCGTTTCTCGCTCGCACACCCGCCCGCGACGAGCACGAGCCGCCCGACGGCCACGGCAGCAGCGGCTCCTGTCCCCCACCGCAACGCGCCGCCGCCGTCGTCGTCGTCGTCGTCGCCGTCGCTCCTCTCTCAGTCGCTCTCGCCGGGGGCCACCGCACCGAAGGCGTCCGCGCGACGAGCCAGACCAGCCGCTACGCAAGATGGCTGTATGTCGCTGACGGGAGGCCGACAAACCGGACAGGGGTACAGACAGCCCGCGGATAAGCGGAACATGCGGCTACGTGACCGTCGGGCCCGTCCCTGAAGAGAGAGACACTGGCCAAGAAGCGAGAGGTGAGCGAGGGAGTGTGTCTACGCCAATGTTTGCGTGCGAGTGAGTTTCTCTACCGTTTCTCTCGCCTTCTCGCCGTCTGCCTTCTCGCAAATGGATTTTCTTTACTTTTCGTGGGTCGCCCGTCTCCGTCGGCAGACGATTTTCCACGATCTATTCGTTCTCTCGCTCGCCCCGTTCCTTTTTTTGCCTCGTTCGCTTTTTTTTTCTTGTCTGAGCCTACGCCGGAAAACGACCCTCGCCGAGTCGCGCGACAGTCTCTCCTCGACGTGACAGGTCGAATAAACGGAATAAACGGAGTAAAACGTCCGTTCCTGGGCCCCCTATATACGGGCGACGAGCGAGCGAGTCATACGTGGACTCTACCGAGCGGCGCGACGAGCAAAAATACACGGACACGTAACACGTACGCACCCCGTCGCCGCGTACGAAAAGTGTAAACAAGTTAAGAGTCTCTCCTCCTCGTCCTGGGTATCTTCTTTTTCAATGACGTTGGCCGCGCCGCTGCGCTGGTCTTCACAACTTGGCGATAACAACGTATCGCGCTTTCTCTTTCTCTCTCTGTCTTTCTCGCGCGAGGCTGTCCGTGCTTCCCCCCTCTCTCTCTCCAGGGCCGAAAATTCGCTCATCATTGGGTATCTTCCACGACGACGTGGAATTACGACCGCGTGCTCGTATCTCCGCGAGGTTTTCGCGCATCGATAACGAGACCTGTCCCGCTGTCTCTTCTCCTTTCTCCCTTATCCCCGTTACCATTCCTCTCGCATCCGCAAATACCCTCGTCCCCTCTGAGGCCCCCGTTCTCCTCGCTCTATCTCTCTTTCTCTCTCCCCGGCGTACGTCTGCGTGGCTGGCAGTCTATCAGTGTCTGCACTTTGTCGGTCCGCACTTTCCCCCGTACCAGGCTCCGTCCCGTCGATTGAATGGCTCCTACTGTGGCTCCCATTCTATACGTGCGTGCCATACAATCGCGGAATGGGAAACCGAGACCCTGGAAACATCTGTCGCGCGCGGCCGACCGGAGGCCGACCTAACCTCCAAAACTCACGAGAGAGAGAGAGAGAAAGAGAGACCCATCGCCGTCGTCGACGTGCGCGTCTTATTTTTGAATCGCCGTCCGCGAGCAGCCCGAAAAGCGTCGCGACGCGTTATAACTCACTTGGAACGGAGAACCGTCCGCGCGGACGATTTTTAAGCTGCGCATTCTCGCGATAAGTTTAGCTTCGTCGAAGGAGTTTCTCGCTCTCATTGTCAGTCGTCTCCTCAGAATAAATCGACTCCCCGGGTCTCTCCGTTCTCCTGACGGCGCGCTTTCTCACGCCTCGTACCTCGCGCCGCTCGGAGGTACGCGAGAACGCGCGATAAACGGCGTGGTGAGGGGAGCGGAGACACGAAAACGGCGCGTGTGGCTCCCGCGGAATGACCGATGGGCTCTCCCTCGTCGACGTCGATCGGTTCGGTGTAATCAGGAAGAAATCGCGAGGGCGCGTCGCGGTGCCGAAATGGGCGTAACTTGCGTTTAAGAAACTTCTGTCATTGGTATCATGAATTATTCAGTTTTTGCCGCTGCCCTGCCTTCTTTCTCTCTCTCTCTTTCTCTCTCATTCATTCACTCGGAGATAATTATTAAAGATAAACGTGGGCTTTTACGGTTTTCCCTGCGTGAAAATGTATATACGCGCGACGGAAGTGATTTCGAATACAGAACCTTTTCTCGGCGCGACATCGAATTTCAAATCGTTGCCGACGACGCCGTTCTCCATGCGCACGTCCCGCACGTCCGCGCAACGCAGTTCCTTACATAAATATTAACCGCGGATATCGACGGCGAGGCGCATGAATAACCCGATCGTGAATCGTCAGCCGGAGCAGCGAGACTTATATGACTTTTCCACGTAGATATGATTAGAGCCCGGCTTTAAAACGCGAGTCGTCGGCTGACGCATTCTCCTCCATCTTCGTCTTATTCAATTTGCACCGCTGTATTCCGATCCGCGCGCGTAACCGATCAGGAGCATCGCGCGTAAAATCGCAAATATACGTATATCGCGAGCGAGACGAAGATTCCGACTGTCCAGGGTATGGTATCCCTCGGAAAATCCGATTACCGTGACGCTGTATTTCGTCGTTTTACGTTCGCGTTTTTACGTTCGGTTAGGTCCGTCGAAACATCTGTCGCTCGCCGCCACGCCGCGCCGGTCGGCGTAACCCAGCCGCGTCGCGGTCATCTTTCTGGATCGCGATTTTTCCTCTCGCCGTCACGCTATCGCTCGCGATTGCCGGCGCTCGGAACGTTGTCCTCGAGCCTCGTCGGGCCTCCACACACGTCCGTCGACGGTGGTTGTTGAACCGAGCGTTGTATACGCGCGCACGTACGCGACATGCACGTACAAACGCGCGCACGCACGCACGAGCATCGAATTGGCGTGTCTGCGTATCCGGCTCCGAAGTTATAGTATCCTGATAAAAATGTATCGAAACTCGCGCGATGGATATAGATATATATTCATATGTAACATTTATTCTCCTCACATGTATATGTACATACATACGTATGTATACGCACGTATGCGCGCTCATGTATCTATACGCTCGAAATGGTTTCGTCATCGTCACGGGATAATCGAACGACTCTGCGATCGGATCTGGGCCGTGTGGCGTATATATATCGGCGAGAAACCGCTCCATATCCCGACGTGTACGCGTGTGTTGATTTTTGGGCACACCCCGTATATATGCGCGCGGCTGGGTAGTTTCCATCGAGCACACACGGGCATTCAGTGCTCCGACCGTTCCGATGCGGGCATATCTCCCTGTACCTGGCCATTAGCATGGAGAGAGTCCCGTCGCCCTTCGTTTTCGACGATGGCCATTGTCCTGGACGTAGTATAGACTCGGGGGTTTCGGGTCCAGTCTCCGTTGCTGCGCGCCGGAATGCGCTCGGGGAGTGTGCTCCCAGCCAAGCGCCGTAATTAGCAATTTTGCGAGGAGGCAGGCCTGAATTCGGTAAGGGCTTATCGATTCGCTCGGCCGGCGTGGCGGCTTACGTTTAATTCGGGCGTAATTCGCCTCGGGTTTTGGCAGCTCTCGTCGTACCGTTGTTTCCTCCCTTACCCCTCCTTCCCCGCGTTAAAAGCGTGGGGGGAAAACAAAGTTGTTTCGCACCCGAAAGAGACGGCTCGCTGTCGCCAAATGTCGATCAGACCCTCCCGCCACAGCGGCAAAGGAAACCCTGCAGAGAGCTTTTTATCGTCGCTTGTGATACCAATCGCTATTTATCGCCTTCTCGAGCCGTTCAAAAATCGAGCGAATATCTCCAATTGTAAATTGCGTAATCGCACAGACTATTGTATCTGCTTGTCGAGTCGATGATTGCTGAAACGGCTTTAATTGTACTCTTATTCGTTCAGTGGCACGTTTTACGACGTGATGGTATAACGATTCCGCGGAGTCGTGCGCGAGATACGATCGTGGCCAAAGCGCGGAATTTTTCATGTGTGCGTGTGCCACATTTCAAAACTGACTACGATGTTTGGAACGACTCGCTGCGAACGTGCGTATTTCGCAAACGCAGCTCGCTCGAATGCGGCGCGTCAAGCCCCTTCGCCATTTGGAAAATGAGAATACACACGAGTGGCTTCTCGTGGAGAATCATCCGCGGGCTCGGACTCCTCTCTCTCTGAATTACCGTTTACGACGTATTTTGATATTTTACTTTGCATCGCGCTCGAGAAACGACCGGTAGCTTATTCGCCTACTTTGCATACACATGTTAATTTCCATAGCGACTGGCGACGACGTTGACCCTACGATCTATATGGAAATCCTTCTTAATCCTAGAAATTCTCTCGGTCCTCCTTGATCCTCGAGGAAAAGACAGATATGATAGAAAAAACCTGCGTACCTTCATGTTCCGAGCCGTATGATTTTTTGTTGCCGCCTGACGGGCAGCAGGCACACAAAATTATAGCCGGGGGCCTTCTCTCGGGGCCCATTACCTGAAATCACAGGTAATAACCGAGTATTCAATTCAATATCTATTACACGGACGATGTTTTGAATACCTATTAGTTGGCTGCACAAATGGGGAAAGTGCTTCGAATGATGACAGTACTGTGAGTACTGTATACATCCTATGATCGTTCCACGCGAAATACAATAATGTATTACGTTATTTTATTTTACATTACTTTTCAGATGCATACCCGTGAAGCACTGTTTCCTATAGTTACTTTAGACCGCGTATTCGTGTAACATCTCATTGCCAGACGATTAGGTATCAACATAATATAATTACTAGCAAAAACTAATAACAGAGCATGCCAGTAAATTGAAGCAAATTAAAACATTTTACTTGCGAAGTTTCACCAATTGTGAGGTCAACAATTACTTTTTCGAACTGACGTTTTCTTCGCCAAAAGGTGGATCGTAAAGAAATACGATGGAACGATATATACAAGGTTTTGTAGTCTCGACTAAAGTTTCTTTTTTCAGTTTGGCTTGGTCCTTTGCCCTCTCTTTCTCTCCATCTTTCCTCTCTCTCGCGCTTTCTTTCTTTCTTTCTTTCTGTTGGCCTTTTTCGTGCGAACCTCACTATACACACGTTATACTATACATGCGCGGGCATTTCAGGACACACGTTGCCTGTCCGTTAGAGCATTTTTGTGCAGGCTGTTCTCCTTCACGGGGATATACACGTGTGAGTGCGTCGAACCTACGTACACTCGCGCATTCGTGTCGGAGTAACGTTGCACCGTGCACCGGCTGGTAAGCCGGTGACACGTCACGTCGCCGAGGGAATGCATTTTACCACGAATTTTAGCTGCATAAGTCTATCTGCTAAGATTGGCGACTGTCCAAACGTTAATAACGTCAATTTTGCTTCAACGCGCGTTAAAAAATGCACATTTTCATAAAAAAATATCGAGATTTTTTTAGCTTGATGCGCCTAGCGTAATTACATTCGATTAAATTATATCATTTAAGGTGCGGTGAAATCATCGATAACACTAATATTATTAACACTATGAGTAATTGTTTTA